TCTACCTCTAAACGCTCCGGGATTTTACTACCAAAAATGTGGTTTTCCTCGCAAAGCCGATGCTCGTGTGATCGTGAGTTTCCTACCAGGTCCTACGCGGTCTGAGGCAGTACGGCAAGCCCGCTCATGACTGACACTGCGCGTCTTAAACTGCGGTGTTGGACCTTTCCTGTCAGTCGACCCCATTCCTACCCCTCCTGTTATACTCCTACACTTTTTGAGTCCTTAGGAGATCGGCTTTACCCACCAGAACCAGAACTATGTTCAGATGTAGTTGATAATGAGCCTGTCTCTTATACACATCTAACGATTTATATTGTTTCTTGTATCTTTTTAAAGGTTGTTATTATAGGTGACAGATGCGAGTTTATTTTTTTTCGACACTGTATCCAACAATGGTGAAAATCCGCTATAGAGGGCACAATTCATAAAACCGCACATTTTGACGTTTAAGGACTGTATCAGAATATGCTGGCACGTTTAAGCCAAAACCCATCAATTTTATTTGATTGAAATACTTTCTTTTCGGCATACACTTTTATCCCTATTCAATCCAATTAATAGCCCGCGGCGTGCCCATACTACTGAAGAAAGTGGAAGTGGCGTGTGACTTTCTAATTCGAAATTATCAGAGCTATAATATGATAAACTGCTTTCGATTTCGCGTATCATCAGATTTTTGTCTTCTTTCATAATTTCTTTTGGGACTGGGTTTGATGCTACAACACAGGAGGCAAAACATCAACATTAAAACATGGAATATTGTTGTTGCAGTACGAAATTTGATAATTTATATAATAATGTATTTATCACATACAAGAGAATCACTAGGCCCTATAACAATTCTTTAACATTGTAAATTCAAACGTAAGATCAAACAATACATGATCAAGAAGAAAACTATAATCCTATTGATATTTTACAAATAATAATAATTAGATGTCTGTTACAACAATTTCCTCCCTGAATACTTCTAAGATCAAGCCTTATACACATGATTTAATTATTTACGAAATGTTGTTTTAAAAAAAACAATAGACCTCTAATGATCTAAAATAAAATTACAAATTTTACTCTAATATAGTCATTAATATTCATCAATGCATTACCAAGCTACTGCATAGGCCTAATAGGTTATGCCAATTGAAATTTGGCCATGAAAATGTATTTGAAGAAATTTCCATACTATAAAAGCATAGAGAAATACAGAAGCATTTCTACTAAAGCCTACTAAATCAATGTTCTTATATACGACATGAGGAATTTGAAATTGTACAACTAAATTTTCTAATATCCATTACGACTGACGGAATAATTCAGTATTTTTAGTCCCGGCGACATTTTTTCACAATAAATTTACATTTTGCCAGCATATACTCTCAATTTCAGTTTTCAACAAGCTAGGTTAAGTTGTGTTTAAAAACACATAAACTATAGACATTGTTTAGTATGCTTAATTCTGTCAATCAAGCATAGTAAACAATTTCTATATTTTAATATGCTTAATTCTATCAATACTAGTAATAGAATTACAATCAATTTTGATAGTAGCATAATGTATTAAAAATGCTATTAAGATAATGTTAAAATATGTTGAGTCGATCGACTGGGTGATAGTATTCGTATAATAATTTTCTGTTGATTGGTTTCATTAAGGAGTCAAAGATTATAAGTATTCAACGCCATTCCAAAAAAGAAAATATCTTTTAGATATTTCATGATATTAACTAAATTTAGTAGGCCTATACCTTTTTGTTTTTAACAGCGAATGATATCATTCTAACATTTGAGCGCACATTAGCGCGCACGACGTAATCTTAGGGCCTAATTGGAACAAGCGGAACAAGCAATTAACATTAATCTTACCTGCTCCAGTCATCTTCATCGTAAAGACAAATGCACACACGATTTTTAATAATAGCATGTTGGATGAATACGGTCTCTACTAATTAAGATAAATTGCTATTTAAGAATACGAAAATACTATGAACTGTTAATATGTTGTTAAATAAATAATTTTGATAATCTAATTCAGTAGTCAAGTGCTGCTTGATCTGCTGTTGATGATAATGGAACTGGGATCTGGGGTCCTCGTCCTTGTTTTATGCTATTGGCATGTGTCAGTAGTATCGACCAGCTTCACCCTAAGGGCAAAACAAACCAACATGGTATCTGACCACATGTTAGCATCACCACCTGGGTCCGCTAACAACGGTGCCCGTATTTACCTGTTCCCATTTTTAGCCTACGCAGAAAATTTTAATATATTATGATTGCATTACTGAGCATTATTCAGTGAGTGGCCGCATTTTCTTGTACTATGCTATTGCATCCCCATGATAGTGCAATCCGATGTGGTCATTGATTTCTGTAATGCCACCAGGCGCATTCTGATGACTTTTCACCGCATTACACCACGATATAGCAAGGGGATAGCTCATAGGATGAATGTGGGGATGTACATCAAAATAAGAAATATGAAGGTTCTAATTAACCCCCCATCCACCCACCCCTAAAAAAAAAAAAAAAAAAAAAAAAAACCGGCGTCATGTTTCCAAGAGTTACCTCCGTCGCTTTGAAGTACAATATATTAGGCTTTGTTGAAAATACGGTCTGAAAGTATAACGGATTGCAAAATGAATCACCAAAACTGCTCCACATCTAAATTGGCCTTTTGAGAAAGTATGAGTATCGAAGTTCACACTACACCGTCTCAATCATACAAATTTGAACTTGTTATCTGATGAATTGCAGCTCTGCAATGACTATGACTACTACATTTTATTTAAGATCTTTCAGAAATGACGCAAATTATCTATATACGAAGATGCGCCAACTGCAGGTCTGAAGCAGTGATTATATTTTGAATGGCTGCTGTAAAGTTTATATACTAGATTTGAAAACACACTTGTTCGAATAAGCACGGTGTCACATAGAATGATGTAATTGAATTAATACGAAATCCGAATAATGAATAATATTCCTGCTCCGTGAAATCATTTACATGTAGGCCTATAAACTTACGGCATACATGTCGTTTGTAATCTTATATGACTTTATTGTCTATGACCGAAATATCGTGGCGATTGTGATTGCAATAAATACGTATATTTTCAATAATCTTAATGCGTCGTGTCATTAATAAATCTTTATGCATATATGTGCGATTTCAATAATTCTACATAATGTAATGTAATTTCAATAAATTTGCAATATATTATAGTGCTATAGTATAATAAAGTACAAAAAGAAAATAGTATTAACTATTTGTTGCCAGTCATATCTATTAAATCAATTGGCCTAATCCACCCGAATATAGCCTAGGTGCGGACCTATCATATAGGAAATTTGTTCCGAAATACTGAATAAAGTATTGAATGAACGAATAAATGATACGATCTTTACATGTTCCTTTAATTGAGCACTGTGTCTATATTACTCTAGCCCTTGTTTTATTGTCAGCAGACGTATTAATTGTGAATATTAACATTCGATCAATAACAGTAAATGAGCAAAGACAATTTTGCTTCCAAATGTTTTAGGAATAAATACGGCAAAAATAAAAATTTCCTTATTTTTTTTAACATCACATCCTCTGTCTAAATCAACCGAGTTTTCTTGACACTATATAGTGCTGTTCCGCATATTTTGACCCCTTATTACACCCCTGACATGACAATTTCTTGACAAACGGCACTTTGGGTCTTGGCTCTCGAGATCTTTCTTACTTTAACGATTTGTATCTTATCTTTGCATTGACACTTAAATTAAGCAGTAGAAATGGATTTTATGTAAGAATTTTTGTATTAAAATATACGTAAACTAGCGAAAATGTGTACATTATTGGAAGTTAATAACTTAGATCTTATAAAATGCTCCTTAAATGATTGTTTAATAGTATTTTACATTGTATAAGCGCAAATATATATAGCGCCATCATTAGTTTTGCTGTAAAATGTTGCCATAACCTTTGACATGGTAGCGGTGAACACATGTGTGTTTTGTTTGCTTATCGTCGTCGCTCTAGACGTGAAACGCTGATGAAAGTTAATTCTAACAAGACAAATTAATCGTTATGGAAGATCCTACTAGTTCAGGGTCACATTTGCAGGCTCGTTTTGTGACGAAACAGCAGCAGTAGGTTTAAACCATAGTGTGATTAGCTTATTTTGATATATTAACGTAGGCCTCCATCCACTATCGCCTGTATGTATTATAACGAAATAGGTATAGGGCATTGCCCAGCCCGACCTCTCAATTCTCTACATTTTTAGGCCTAGCTAGCCTAGACTTTTCTTACGTTCCCAACATAAAGCCTTTCACATGAATAGGGGTAGAGCTATTTTACATAGGCTATCCACCTTACTTAGGTATATTGTATGCACCTAATAACTTTCAAACTAGCTTTTTTTTTTAGAATTGAGAAAAAAAAAATAGACGCATGTTGCACATAATCTGGAAAAAAAGTGCTGAATATTCGGGGATGTCCAATTACGCATTTTGGGATTCTGAGGAAGTAAGCTAGCCTGGCCCTACTGTAGCTACAGTAAAATAATAAAAACATGAGGACAAATTGCTAATTGTGCATTTTTTTTTTTTTGGCTACATGATGACTAGACTGTAAAGTAAGGTCTGCGCGGGAATATAGCCTTGGCTGAGAAATCCATCCACACATTACAGAAAATAAGGGCTAATTTCTACGCAGATTTTGCCAAAAATTAGGACTTGACCTGATCTTACTATAGGTCAGACTTTTTTTATACCTTGTTTCACTAACTTAGGCCTACTGTACATATATTATTTTTTTTAAAGATTTCAAGGAAGCGGCGGGCATAATAAAAATAAAGAAAACTTTTTTTCCCTGAAATTGTGATCTTTTTGTGGAGGCGTGTGCGCTAATTAGCCAAAAATAAAAGTGTATTTTTATTTGAAATCATTGTTATTGACAGGCGGTGGGTTTGCTAAACAAGGAATAAAACAAGTATTGTGCAATGTATGCAGTAGGCCTACTGTAATTAGGATTCTGGACACCTATTTTCATACTAATTTTCTGCACAAATTTGAGCTGGTTCTTGAGGTATCATTCGCGCAATAAAAAACTACAGTATGGTGTAATGAGGGATACCAAATCGTAAATTTGATTCAGTTGATATCGGCTAAGTTTCCCAGACAAGCAATGATCAAACACATATTTATTTTTATTTATTTATTTATTTTTTATTTTGGTATAAAGTTGTATAGGTGGTGGGATAGATTTATTTGTTGTATTTGTTTAAAGTTAACTTCAAAGCAAATCTTAATTTTTAAAACTAGGTTATAGCATTTAAGTTCATTGATGATACTGTAGTAGTAATGAACTCTAGAAATTAAATGTTTACGTGCCAATTGCCAATTAAAATGTACAGTGATTCTTCAAATCAGCTTTAGTTCAATGTAAATGCACTGAATACCGTGTATTGATTGACACTCTGACAAGCTGTCTGTCACAATTTGTTGATTTAAGTGCAACTTGATAATGCCAATCAACATCAGATTTTAAGATTGATCAGGTACTGGTGTTTATCTTTCATTGGCCATGTAGACTGTAATGTCATGCAGTAATTTGTTTTGTGTAAACCATATCTACCAACTGCTATCAGTGGAAATAGTAAGATGAGGCTTTACAATGTTAGGGAGCTTTTGGTTTGCGAGACGACATGATGCTAGTACAGATTCGCCGTGCATTCTCTGCACAACATGGATTTGGTCATAAATGTGTGGTAAAATTCATGCAATGAGAAGAGCTAAAAATTCTTGCATGCGCAGATGACTTCTTAGTGGCATCATTACAATTTACATCCTACCACGTCAAACAACTTAATGCTTTACTATAAAAAAAGTTTTTAGTTTGGTTAACACAATGTTTGTTATCCGGTAGTGTTAGTAATCACTTGCAGGAACTGAAGTGTGCACCATATTTTAAGACAGTTTTTCTTATTTTGTCAAATTTGTTGTGAGTAATGGTACAGTACTAATATTTATAACAGCTTCTGTTTCTCATTCTTCAGGTATGCTGTACCAGAGTTTCCCTTTTCTGTGCCTGCGAATGTTGGAGCAAGTGAATTGAGTGCCCTCATAAACAAGTTACTGAATGAAGGTAAAATGTAGCACAATAAATTGTAACAAATGATGAGTGACATCTTTAAATAAAGTTGGTGTGTTGTGGTAATGATTGCGGTCCACACTGAGTCGCGAACCAATGACCTGCAATTAGTATTTGGTTGCTAAACAAATCTCAAGTCATAAGGCCAAGTACACATGCAACAGGTGTCAGTCAGTGCTGACTTCAATATGAATCACTACAGTAAATAAGAGTGTTCACATTGTACAGAAGCAGTAATATAATGAGGTGTCCAATTGCACTAATAGGACTTTAGCCAAGTGCGGTACTCCAAAGCAATGAACCTGGTATATACTGTAGGTATACTCTTGGTAGGCAATACAATTAACAAAAGAATAATTTGAAGTGAACTCAACTCGTATCCATATTTTTTTTTTCTAGCGTGCATGATTCATTGAACATTCTCACTATTTTTTGGCAGTGGACGTTTTCTTTTCAGGATAGCCTACATTAATCCACTGTACAGGCTATTAAATTTTATTTGACAAAAATAACTGTATTGTATGCTGATATATAGTCATGTGATGTCATCATGACCATATTTAGGCATGTCACATGCTTCTGTCCAATAAAATTTGATAGTGTGTACAGGGCATTAGTATAAATACTGTATTACAGTGTATATTGTTATTAATTACAGAATATTATTACAATATTGTTATATTCATTGTCTATACTGTAGCAGTACAGAAATTTGTCCCAATAAAAAGTTTTTAAACTTTAAAAAACATGAGAATACAGTATACTACCCCCTCCCCATAAAAAAATAAATGTGCTTTGATTTAAAAATAGAAAGTTGTTCACTTTTAGAAAAAGCAGAGGAAGATGTTGAACAACTTGACTTTGACTTCCTTATTGATGGGGAGCTTCTCCGTGTTTCTGTTAGCAACCACATGGAAGAGAAAGGAATTTCTTCCGAGACTGTGGTGGAGATTGAATACTTTCAGAAACATCCAGCGCCCACTCCAGAGGGCAGTCTCCTACATGATGACTGGATTAGCTGTGTGCAAGGATGTAATGACAGGTTGGGAAAATAGATTTTTTGAAATGTGGGAGCAGTTTTGACTCTTACCCTTGAGGTCAGGGTTCATGTCCCATGCTTGTCTTTTTCCAGCCAGGCACGAAAGTCAGTAAGATGTGAATGATTTCAAATGAAATATGGTACAGTTAGCTGCACACTATGTAATACTCTGAAGAGAGTGGAATTGTGAGTGGCTGTTTGTGTATCCAATCCAGTGACGGGGATCCCACGTGTCCCGAAAATCACAATGGCCTCCCGCAAGCAAGAATATCCCGAAAAGTAACCCATCCCCCGCAAATTCATAATATTTGCATGCTTTTACTACTTTATTATCAGTTATCTCACAGAAGTCAGTGCCGATGCATATCACCATGTTCAGCAAAATAAAATTAAATGTGTTAAGCAAACTCATTTAACCAGATCTCCTGGTAGAGATTTCTTCAAATTTGGGACCCTTGCAGTGACTAGGGGAAAGGAATAACTGCCCTTGCAGTAGGATTCAAAATAGATAGCGCAAAGTGTTATTTTTTTAATTGTTCTTTTAATTTAATGTAATTAGATTTATATAGTACTTTATACCGAAAAGGTCTCAAAGCACTTGAGGTGTGGAATAGCTTCTACACTAACTTGCTTCTTCTCCCCTCATGTCTGAGTTGCCTGGTACACTGGGACCAGCTAATCTCGTCTATTCAATTTTACTAAATGAATATGATGACTGTTATAATGTCCAAGTTAATAAAATGGGAAGTGATTTGAGACTTGGTAAGTGCTATATAAATTCAAATTAGTATTATTTTTTTTCCTGGGTGGATTAATTCAGAAACATTCAACATTATTGAATGTGATTGAATTGCAAATCTAGTATATTGAATTCAAATGCAATTTTCTTTCACAATTACCTTTTTTGACTTGATATATTCAAAATCTAATATACAGTATACTTGCATACAGGATTGTTACTGGGTGCTATGACAACTCTGTACGTCTGTGGAATGTTAAAGGAGATAATCTAATGACTTTGAGTTATCATTCAGATCCTGTAAAATGTGTATCATGGATAAAGAAAGGTGAGGTGAATATAAATATAGATAATTAAGAAAATAATGGGTAATCAGTGCTGGAGGGCCCAGGCCCCCTAAATTTTTCAAAATTATTTTTAAAAAAAAACAACATTTAAGTCTGAGAGTGCCATTTTCAGCCATCTAGGTGTCATAATTATAAATTTTCATATCTCAGCCCCAACCATGGTGGGGCTGATGTGGTCTAGAACATCTGTGAAAGTACCTCCCTGGGCCCCTCTATTTGGAATTTCTGGATCCGGTAGGTAAAAGAATATACTTTACAAGTTTTCAGCTCAACATACTGTAGGCAATGAGCAAAAAAACCCTTTAATATAGGGCTAGATATTTATTCATTGTTTATCCAGATTTCAGTTAACAATTTTTAGCTCTGTAATTTTATCATTTTATAAATACCAAATAATTATTAACGTGCAACATGCTAATTTCAGACGGCCCTACAAGTTTACTAGTGTCTGGATCTCATGACCAGAGTCTAATCATCTGGGAAGTCAACGAGGAAAAAAAAACATGCCAGGCATTACACAGCTGTCGGGGACACGCAAGGAGCGTGGATTCTGTCGCCGTCAATAAAAGCGGGACTAAAATATGCAGTGGGTCTTTTGATAGCATGCTTAAAATCTGGTCAGCAGGTATGAAAATTAAATGTGGATTAAAGTTATTGATTATTATAATCATTATTTTATATGTTTTATAAAACATTATTGAAATACCAATAATAATTAACATATCTGAATGGAAATCATGACATTTTATTTATGATAAAAAAAACAAATTTCTAAGTGAATCTGTTTTAAAAAATTACATTTATCGAACATGCATGCATACAAAAAACTTTTAACACTAAATTAACAAATACTGTATTCTTCATTTAGTTCCAGGGACAACTGAAGATGTGTCGGAAAGAACAGAAGACCAACATAGGAAGAAAATCAAAGCAGACAAAAATCTTCCTTTGACAAGGGTGAGCATAATTACAATTTTGGATCCTTTTAATTTTGAAATGTTCAAAAAATGATCACATACTGTACAGTACTGCAAATGTTTATCTGTCTGATGATGACATGTTTTGTGCTTTAAAGCTGTACATAATTACAGTATTAATTATTAAACCTAATATTTAGTGTACAAAAAATCTGAACATGATAATCTACTGAAATATACCTATTGGTTTGAACCGTGGAAAAAAATAAAGTTTTACAAAATCAATAACTGAATCTAAATTTATTTTAGACCCCTCTAATGACGTTAGATGGCCACAGAGAAGCTGTGTCATCAGTACTCTGGTACAATGACAATGAGGTTTGCAGTGCATCCTGGGATCACACCATACAATTCTGGGATGTTGAAACCGGTGTCCAAAAGTCAACATTGGTAAGATTACAAACCTGAAACATCATTAGCTTAAAACAGCTAAATTCTTTCAAAGATGATTTACCATCCGTAGAGGGGTATTAGGGAGGTTTCGCATGCGAACGCATACGGTTAGTGTGACTTATACATCATCATTTATGACACACATTTCTTGTTCACTACACGTAGAAAAATTTTGGATTTCTAGTACAATCTTCAATTTTTTTCACATTTTACAGCAAGTAAAGTAAAATAAATGTATCTTTGATACGTTCTTTGTGGCTTTGCAAGAGAGCAAGTTTCATTTTGGGGTGTTAAAAAATGTTGGTGCTTGGTGGTGTCGGGATTTTCCTGTAGGCCTAGCTTATAGTAGCCAGGCATTTTTGGGTCACGAAATAACCAAAACCAAACAAGGGAAAAATCTATATATATGCCAAAATCTGATTTTGAGAAGCATGATGAGAGAAAAAAACTGAACAGGCCTAGCGTAGGCCTAAAGCCCGATGGTTAAATTTCGCTGTCATTGTGAAAGGCACAGCATGGCTACAAACCGTTACAGATAGTTAAACGTATGCGAACAGATAGTTAAACGTATGCGAACACCTATCTGTTATCCTGCAAAACCTCTCTAATAACAAATTTATACACGAAAATTGCACAATGGATGTCCTCTTGTGTATGCGCATTTCTGATGTAACGCCAAACCATTGGTAGCAGTCTCAACAAATCCTTTTTCAGGGTTAATCTTGGATGCATATTTAAATTACTTTCAGACAGGGACAAAGGTTTTCCTCTCAATTGCGCTGTCTGAGTGCAATGGTATGATAGCTTCTGGCAATGCAGACCGCCACATCAGAATATGGGACCCACGCAGTAGCGAGGGAGCAGTTGTCAAATCGTCACTCTCTCATCACAATGGTTGGGTGACAGCTGTGGACTGGTCCCGAGTGAATTCAAACCAGTTGATTTCTGGCTCGTATGATCAAACCTTCAAGCTTTGGGACATTCGTAGTTCAAAAGCCCCATTGTACAATATGTCTGGATTAGGGGATAAAGTTCTTGCCGTCAACTGGAACATACCAGAGGTAGGATTATTTCACTACTTTGCATAAAAGCTAATTTCTTTTGACAACCCACAATAATTGGTTATGTCTAGCCAAAAAAAAACAAAAAAAAAAACCCCATTCCCAAACATTTTTCAGCTTTGCATCAAAAGGAAAGACATTTCTTACATTGAATTTCGTTTTTGTCTTTTCAGTTGCTGCTCTTTGGGGGTGCTGATAATTGTCTACATATATTTCACTCTTCTGAGATCATCTCTAGGTGAAAGGAAATCTTAGCTGCATATCCATCCCTTGAAATACACACACAGAGTAACAGAGTAGCAATATTCCATGCATTCTGATTGGTGCTAAGACAATGCCTAATAACCTGCCCTTCATGGTTGTAGCTGGAAAAAAAAAAAGTTTAGCAATTGGGTTAATTCAGTTTAAAAATGATTAGCAAAATTGAGTTTAATTAGCACAGAAACAATGAATGTTTAAACTCATTAGCTAAAAATATTTAGCCAAATTCAGCAATATGAATGGGAGGCTTAAATTCTAATGAGCTAATTACTAAAGGTACAGAAGGCAGAAGAAAAATTGTGTTGCCCAAGGCCATTTGGAAACAGGGCCTTATAGGATACTCCCCTTGGAGATGTGTATGCCATAGGCATTTGTTCCAATAACCATATTAATAAATTTAAAGTGCATAGCCTCGGTATAAAATTCAACATATTTATTTCATTTTAGTCATTTTTTTTGTATTCACTCTGTACTTTTACTGTTTATGGCTTTCTGTCCATTCTAGTCATGCATTTTAAATGTTGTCTAGGACTACTAATTAATAAACTATGTAGTTGGTTTTTAATTAAATTACCAATACAGGTACAACAAAATATATGTTTTTGAGTGAACCTAAAAGTCTTTTAAACTCTACAGTATTATCTTTTTCGATGTGAGTTTGCGTATGTAATCAATAAATGTAAAATACTGTACTGTACTTTACCAGATATCAAGATATAGATGTGTTTGGTTTGATAAACTTGGATTGCACAAACACGCGTGGTACACATAAACCTTCTTTCTTGTTAACAGTTTCTCTAAGCACATACTCATTCTTGTCAATAATGAAGCCGTTTCCTTGACATAACCGCTTCACAAAATCTAAAGAATGTTGGGAGAAAACAATCAGTTTATATTAGAACTGGCACTCTTTGTTAACTATTTCAGATTTAGTATAATTATTGATCTATTGAATAAAACATTTTTGTGAAATTTGCAATTGTTTTTAGTCTTCCTAACTACATCAACCTGAAAAACATTTACTTTTTGTAATTCATTCATGTTCATTGAACATTTTGAGAATTAAAATTGGCTTTCTCCATATTATTTGAATCACTTAAACAATTCAATGTAATTTGAAGTTGCTAGTTTAATGTGAACAAAAGGCCCCGAGCCCTCTAACTAGTTTTGAAGCAGAACTTAGACACACAAATTTGGAATTGTTTTTAGCCTTCTTGACTACATCAACATGAAAACATCTACTTTTTGTAATTAATTCATGTTCATTGTACATTTTGAGAATTAAAATTGGCTTTCCCCATTATTCTCTGAATAGCTTAAACAATTCAATGTAATTTTAAGCTTCTAGTTTAATGTGAACAAAAGGCCCTGAGCCCTCTAACTAGTTTTGAAGTAGAACATAGACACACAGATTTGATTATACTGTACTTTATATAGGCCAAGGATTGCCAGTAGCAAAAACACATTAATGTATAAGCAGCAATCTAATATTCCCAGGGCCCCCACTTTTTGGCAGAAATATGGAGATTTTTGTATGATCGGAAAGAAATGCAAGAAAAGAAAGAGGGAAGAAGGAAGAGAGAGTATACAAGTATGTATACCGGTACACGCATAATAGACCTATTTACTGTAATAGGAATGAGAAAAAATTATCTGACCATTTTCAAGGGGGAATACCTTGAATTTTGAATTAACATTTTCACAGGGAGAACCCGAACCCGCCTTTCCCTTTGGGGTTCATTGATTCATGGAATCGCTCTTTAAAAGGGGAAACCTTGAATTTTGAAGAACATAAGTCATTAAAAGACACCTCAGAAGTCAGGAATCAAAATTTTGGGAATCATTTTTACCCCCACCCCCTAAATTTGAACGCAGATCCCCCTGATTCATATTCCCATTCATCTTACTAGTGAGCCCCCAACTTTGAAAAACGTTCCGCCGGCACTGTGTAAGATATTAAGATGTGTATAAGAGAAGACAATAATAGTGTACTGATTTCATTTTTTGTTCACAGAGCCATTATGTATACAGGTCCAACAGCTTAACATTCTATTCACTTAGACCAAGGATACTAAACTGAGTATAAGTACAGTACTATAATTCAAGAATTGCTTTTAAAGATGATTATGATGAGATCATAAAAAATAATAATAGCATACAAATTATTAACTTGTGCATAAAAATTATTGAATTTAAAAAATGTGTACCCTGATTTTTAAACAAAAAAAACATTATAATAAAAATAATAAAACACTTCCAGTGACTAGAAGTTTTTCTATCATTTTTCGCTGTAAACTGATGGGTAGACATTTTTTTAAATAAACTAAACTCTATGTTCAATTTGATAACTTCAAAATGGCCAAGTTAATTTCAAAAAATATTTTTATGATTTTTTTGGTATTTAGCATGGGACAATTATACATCTTTAATGTTTCATACCTGTTGTAAAGTAGTAGGCACGAGTACCATCTTGTCTTACATAGAAATTCTCACTGATCTTATGCCCTTTGGAGAACCTTAACATTGCATGATCATAAAGCCCATAATCACGGAAGAGTAGGACACCACCAGGTTTTAGCACCTGAAAGACAATCAATAAATCAATAACCCAATCAATAATTAATATTGGTAATGGTATATATGTATCAAAACACTGCAGTTAAGCGGCTGAACCTATATCATACTAGAGTTAACGTATGATGAGGTTCGAGGTGGAATGGTTGGGACACTGGTTTTGGTGGGTAGTTTAGGAGTATAACAGGAGGGGTACAATTAGGGTCTGAAAAGGAAAGGTGGTCAGTTTAAGATGCGCAGCATCAGTCTTGAGTTTAGCAGGTTTTCCGTATGTGATCCGCTTTTCAACTACTGTACTGCATATGGCCAAGGGTTCAAAAATCATGCTGTACATTTTTAGTTCAGAAACTCTTTCTCCTCACAACCAAATAGTATAAATGTTTGCCTGATATGAAGCAATTGATCTACTTTAAATAGTCAATGCTGTTTTTTTATTTTTTTTAAATTTTTATTTAAAACCATGTTTAAGGAGGGTAGCTCTTCCAGCACAGCGGATCATTTGGGGGCCTCACATACCTTGAAATCTCCAAAAATAAGATATTATATCTCTTCATAATTACATAAATTTAAAGCATTTAACCATCCCAGGCATTAATACACTGTTTACATTCCACAATAAGAAATATTTTTATTTTCTCCTCTGTCTAGCAAAACCATTATTTTCATTTTTTGTCAACCTCCTTTTAAGGTATAAAAAGCAGTTTCGCCTAAAATGCATCGTCTAACCTTGAATATATTCTTTAAGACATCTGGCATCTTGTCGGGGTGAATAGCCGAAAGGACAAATAGCATACTTGTCATATCAATGGTTCCCTCAGGAATGTTGTCCTTTAACTTATCTTTTGTGAGATCACACTGGAAAACTTTCACTCTGGATTCATTATATAGAGGGTTATCCTAACAAAAAACACAAGTAAAAAATAATGTTAAAGCAATTATGATGGTATAACAGTACAATGACAGTGTTGAAAATGATGCTAAAGATGATAGCTTCACCTTATGTTATTTCACCCTCTGTAACCACATTGAATTATTGTGAATAAAAAAAAAAAAAAAAAAAAATACACCAAATGATAGAATTATTAAGTTACATCTTTAAAGTATTGTATGGAGAGGATGATAAACATGTATTTTGATGATAAATAATGTTGATGCAAACAACTCCCAGTAGACCAATCTCTATATTGTTGGTAACCTCCATTGATTGATTTTCTTTTTTTTAAATTTCATTTCACATCCAACAGCAAAATAATTCACTAAAGATAAAACTTTTTGAAGCTCTTAATGTGTCTTAATATGAGGCTTGGAAAGTGAAGTTGTTTTTAATCATATGAAAGCCTAAAAAATCCTACATTTGAGCTTAGGACTATGGACTTTGTAGTGTGAACATCTATATATATCAATTCTCTTTGTGTTTTGCTTGGCCAGCTGCCTATCTCATCGTATTGACGATTTTGCCAGCCTTATTTGTATTTACCTTTACAAACTGTACAGCTCTTGGAGAAAAATCACAAGCATATATCATCAGATTCTTATTTTCCTCCAGCAGTGGAAACAACGCATTGCCAACCCCACAACCGACTTCAAGCAGAGATCTCTTCACAATGTTACCCTAGAAATAGCAGAGTACATGTATTCATTTGACACCACTGACCATAACGCTGTCTACACTATCAAATACAGATTTATTAGCAGATTACAGTACAGTACCTTGAATAACTCATTTATTTAACTTCTACCATCAACATTATTCTTTAATATTAGAGTATATTTTATGTATATAATTAATTTTAATTTGAGTATTTTATCTGTATAAATTTGTTTTTAATTGTCTTTCTCTTTTCTCTCCCTTTTCTTTGAAATTCTATATGCAATTTATGAATCCCAAGCAATTCAGTTTTTAGTGTCGGATCTGTGGATATTACAGAAAAAAAAAGAAATTAAGAAATATGGGCATATCACATTTCTTTGTTACATGCATTCGATAGTGTGGACACAGCTAACCAGTTGCCAATGATGACATTGATAGCTGTACACACTATCAACTTATCACCATGATCACCAATTATTCTAATCATACATCTTTAGTTTTAAAGTACTTAGACAATAATGATAAATACGCTCTTTTTTTTAATCTCCAATGAGGAGCTCTAGAAACACTTGGCTGATAAATTAATAGATCTTTTTTAGATCTACTGTCTCTATTATACTGCCCTCATGAGGCTGATTGATTAGTAGGTCTTTTTTAGATCTACTGCTTCTATTATACTGCCCTCATGAGGAGTTCTAGAAACATTCAGATGATTAACAGTTGATTGATTGTAGATCTTTTTTAGTTCTACTGCCTCTATTATACTGCCCTCATGAGGAGCTCTAGAAACACTCAGCTGATTAATAGATCTTTTTTATTTTTCTACTGCCTCTATTATACTGCCCTCATCGGAGCTTTTGAGATTACGAGAACTTGTTTTGCTCTACTTTACATGTAAATTACCAGACATTAGCATAGGGGAGATATTAACATTTAGTACAGTACTGTATATTTCAATATCAATTGTGAACATTTTAATTCATAATGTTATTTCCATGTTTCAGCTCTCAATAAATATAGAAATATATTTTTTTAAAACGAACACTATACTATATATATTTTATAGAGTGTAGATACTCACTGTGTGTTCTTTTAGCTCCTCAAATTCTCGAGTAGTCCAATGCCTGTCTTTAAAAAAATTTACAGAGTTCCGTTTATAAAACAGGTCCCAGTTTTTCTGGGCTTCTTTCTCAAGCTTACATCTTTTGAAATCTGAAACAAGTTCAGAATCACTTTCCAATTTCTGTTGCTCCTCATCAGTTAACATTCTAGGATGCTCCAGAGGATGCTCCTCCATTTTTTCTTGTAGAATACCAGGACATGTCTCCTGGGCCATTTCCTTGGGAGACAGAAATAAATTGATTTAGATAATTGTAGTATACATGTAAAATATATGACTATGATGCCAGTGGCTTTTTAAAAGGGTGCATCACAGAAAAGGTTTGCTTCTATCAGTTGGCACCCCACTGAAAAAAAAAAAAGTTTCTGACGCAAAAAAATACTTAAGTACAGCAGTGAAAAAAAAAGTAGTATATAGTATTGTATACAGTACGAGCTATCACTGTCACCTGGAGTAGTATGCGATTGATATCACTGCCACATCTTGGCTCAGTAGTTCAACAGTCGGGGAAGTGGCCCAGTGGGAGTCAACAATCTGGCATTCAACTAAAGTAATTGAAATTGTTGAGTCATAAATAAAAGTGGGTTCTGATCTTACAAAAGTGGAATAGAATTGGGAATTTGGATTAAGAAAACTGGTCTACATAGTCATAGATTCCTGCCATAACCCACCTGTGCACTGCAGTAATGCATTTGTCAATTGTAGTCCCAGCCCCCCACCCTCCGGACCCGGGCCTAGCAGGGACTTAGCCAATGATGTAATTTACGAAACTGTTACATGCATGTGAAACTCCCGGCCACCTCCTGACAATGCGGGGCATCGTTTTAACATACTTATCTGGCTAAGTCCCCGGCCCTTTCGATGCTGGTTACATCCAGGCTACAGGTGAATTTTAGGTACAGTACGTCCCGGTACTGCGGGGACACAATTAGGTGTTTGTCCCGGTCCCTGTCCCGGCTCAGTCCCGGCCAGCCAGTGCCCCGCTATATGGGCCGGGTCCGGGGGACTGGGACTACAATTGACAAGTGCATAAAGTAGGCCATACCATAGGCTAGAGATACTAGTAGATCATACATTACTAATGATACATCACTTCATTCACGTCTAGCTTGGCAATACTGCTGACCTAGGCCTATAAACCTATGCCTGTGCCAATCGCACCACTCTACTACTAGTACTAGGCCGCTCAGTCATCCTGTCCAGACATCAGACACCTGGCCCTGTCGTACTCGGTACCGTAACACCTCCCCCTTACTTACCTAAAAATAAGCTAGGCCTAAGAGGCCTAGCACACCCGGCTCAGATGGATACCATGTACAATAATATTTAAATTATTTAATAACAGAATTGTTCCATATTTGCGTTCCTCCTGTCATAAAATAAATTAATGATAATTTCAATCGTAGTGCAACTAAAAAACACAAACAAAATCACTAACAGTACTGTACTGTAAGTTAACTGTACTTTCTCGCAGCATTGTACGCCCTCTATAGTATAGCATCGTTAACAAACTTGTTGACCCAACTCAACATCACCACCCATTACATGTACTGTTCTTTTTCGTAAAATAAAGTTGGGATCATGGCAAGTGGCGGATCCATGATTTTTAACGGGTATAGGGGAGGAAAGTTTCATTGATCAGACCAAACTTGTGCGAAGAATGTTATCTAAGGGAGATTGAAGCATGTTTTAGAGTTTGTAGGAACATCCATAGTAGAAATAAATTTTAATCTTTCAACCAGAAATATTTGCATGCAATTGACTGATCTTCTACAAAGTAGACCTTTGTTGGGTGATAACAGTCAGTTAGAAAAATTATTATGATATATTTCATCGCCAGAGTAAGGTTGAAAGGGGTTAAATGGTAAAAAGGTTTTTTTTTTTTAAAGACACACTGTCCTAATATTTTGAAACGAGTTAATCTTGTTGGTCCCTACTATTGCGAAACAATGTATTCGCCTATGAACAGGTAAAAAGAGACAAAATAAGTAAGTCGAATTTTGAAATTTCAACTGGCTGTTATAATCCTATCATGCATCATGGATTGCATTATTTTTGCTGTATACGCAGTGGCGGATCCAGGGGTGGGGGGTTCAAGGGGTTCGGACGAACCCCCCCCCCCTCTGTAAAGAAACATAACAAAATATATAGATTGGGCCCTTCTTACATACAAAAGGCATGCTCACCTACCTGTGCATAGGTTGGCACATCGGACAAACTATGCTTATCCCAACGAAAATAAAAAAGAAGACCCCTATTTTTCTCTTTTATTTTGATGATAATACGCCAGCCTGTCACAAAATCAAAATTAAGAATTTTTTGGGCGTCTGTTTGTCTTCGTTTTATACACACCCTATACGGGTGTATACAAAACGAAACCCGAAAAACGAAGACCTCCAACTATTTCTCAATTATCTTATTGAAAGCTTTTCAATATCATCATAAAACAGTTGCCAAGTACCGGTACCTATTACATTATTCGATCGGAATAAAATGAGGAATATCAAGAAAAATTTAGGGGTCTTATAGACACCCTATGGGTGTCTACAAAAGGAAAACCCAAAACAAGAAAAACGAAGACCCACATTTTTTTCTTTTAATCGTGATGAAAATAATGTTTTTAAATCACTTCACTGATTTGATTTGTTAAAATATTTTGTATACGATAACAAAATATTTTAACAAATCAAATCACTTCACTGATTTGATTTGTTAAAATATTTTGTTATCGTATACACGATAAAAAGTTATCGAATCGTCCTAGTGTAAAAACTTCTCTTATTTCTTTTGTTTTCTATATGAATAATCCCTTTTTACCTTTTTTATCGTTATCGTTATCGTTAAAGTATAAACAGGTCTTAAGACTTGGCCTAGCCGTACGCGTTTTTTTTTTTTTTTTTTTTTTTTTTTTGGAGGGGGGGGGGGCGCTAAATCTTGAATATTTAATTCATAAACTTGTTCCATATTAAAATAAACAGTACTAATGCTTTTAATTGCGTTTTAATTTGACAATCAAAAGTTCAATAAAATTCATCGAAAATACTTCACTCTTAAACTCTTCCCGAAAAGAAGAACTTATAACAATCATCGCCTTTTTTCTAATAAATTGTGAGTTATGCTAGTGGAATATTTTCTGTGTATTACAAATAAAATAAAGGCAATTGCCATATCATTTTTATGTATATGATTGTAATTCAGATAAGACATTCCCTACCACCACCATCCCCCTCCCCCAACTTCAGAAAATTATACAGAGCTGAATCAAAACGAACGAGTTGGTCTGAAAAATCCAGACACTGTTCCGTTCTACAGTACCATAGAATGCAATTCAATGGAAAAGCTTAAAAATTGGACTTTTAAAAGAAGTTGTATACATAAATACTAATATTTTGCGAATCTTGAGATTTTTTAGTGTAATCTTGAGATTTTTAGACTGAATTTTGGGAATTTTGGTTTTCTCAGTGGTCACACTGATCGGTCATTTGGTAGTAACACCAACAATAACATAAGATGGATAAGATAAGGGTCTTCGTTTTATAGACACCATACAAAGAACAAGACCCGAAAAACCAAGACCCACATTTTTTTTCTCTCTCAATTGTGATGAAATAATGAAATGGGTACTTGGCAACTGTTTTATGATATTTTGAAATACTTTCAATAAGGTATAATTGAGAAATAATTGGAGGTCTTCGTTTTTCGTGTCTTCGGTCTTCGTTTTGTAGACACCCATATAGGGTGTCTATAAAACGATGAAAATTTCACAAACAGACGGCCAAAAAATTTCGTAATTTTGATTTTGTGACAGCCTTGTGTATTATCATCAAAATAAAAGAGAAAAAATAGGGGTCTTCGTTTTTGTGTCTTCGGTCTTCGGTATTCGTTTTATAGACTCCCTAGCCTAACTAGCATTCAATTCAATACAATTAAAAACACTGTTTTTGGCTCGACGTCGTTATGTACGAAAGTGTGTTCTTCAGGCCTATTTCATCGACCTATAAGAAAGACTACGTATCCAACTACTCAATATTTTTGAAACATAGGTCTAATAATGCATTGACTATATCTTTGATTTCTTGTATGGTATAGGCCTAAGAATGAGATAAAATCACCTGGCCTTTTTTTAAGAGGGGTAAAACCTAGAATTTTAAAGAAATTTATGGTCATTAAAAGACACCTCAGAAGTCGGGAAAGCTCATTTCGAGGACCCCCGACCCCCCTTTCATTCTCGGGTTTCTCGGAATAATTTCGAACCCCCCCCCCCCTCTTTCAAATCATGGATCCGTCCCTGATACGCCTCTGTTTGTAGGAATAATCGCGGATACGTTGAGAAGTCCCAAGTGTGGAAATCCCAGCATCACAAAAGTGATGATAGGCCTATGAAATGAAATTGTGATTATCTATAAGTCTGAGTGTAGGCAGGCCAAACATGACCACGAAGATTTCTGTACAACCTTTGGCCTAGTAGCAGTGCCGTAATCAGAAATTTCTAACAGTGTGGGACAATATCAGGGTGGACCCACTTTACGCGTAAATCCAAATAATATATGGACCCATTTTCTCTAAAGTGGGACCCATTTTATGCATAAAAAATATGAGAAATCTGGACCAATTTTCTTAAAGGTTTACTCATTTTAGGCAAAAAATGAGAAATCTGGACCAATTTATTCAAAAAGTGGACTCATTCTATGCATAGAATAATTTGGACCCATTTAAAAATGTGGACCCATTCTTTGTGGTCCCATTAGAAAAATTGTGTGGGACTGTCCCAACTGTCCCAATGGCTGGCTACGTCGTCGCCTACTACCGTAGTATATAGTAAGAACTCCCTGGATAGACAATTAGGCCAACAATCCACACAGTGGTAACTTGTAGTTGTATTTTGTATCACAAAGCGTCTCATTGTCGTACCACAAACCAGATAAATGTATTATGTCAGAACATAATCAATACTTATAACATTACAACTTGAAACTTTTATTCCGAAAGTTCTTTCGTTAGTTCTTAAACGGATGTGATCTAGAGAACCGTCTTTCATTTCGTCGAATAGCGCAGTGTAGCAGAGATATCGCTTCAGATACATGTTTTTTTGTCATCAACCGTAAAACATGTATTTATGACGAAAACTAACCTGTTTATGAAAATTATAGTAATGTATGCATATTTAAAAAAAAAACACAGCGCGGGTTTTTGAACGTGGGGGTGAGATGGACGGAATTTGGAGACGTGCAGGCCCGTAGGCAGGATTTTCGATGGGGAGGTGCGTTTTTCAACCGAAGTGGACCTTACATTGGGCGACTACCTAGGGATCCCCGCGAGGGTGGGGCGAATTTTCTGGAAGCGCTGACAAATTAGCATTTGGAAGGCATTTTTTAGTGGATTTCTAAAATTAATAATTTGTAATATCCTATTTACATTTTCATTCTTTTAAGTATTGTCTAGCGACCTACAGTAAAGCAGGAGAAATAGATGGTGGGGTGAAGGGAGAAACCTGCGCAGACAGATGGTCAACACCACCTCAGCCCCACCATGGTAGGTGCTGAGGTAAGAAAATTTATGATTATTGCACCTCGAAGTGGCCGGAAATGGCGCTCTCAGACAAACTTTAATATGATTTTTCTTTTTTCTTCATCTCTTTTAAAATTTTAGGGGCTCTCCCCCCTTGAATCCACCAATGTAAAATTATAATTTTTCATGTCCTTTACATCTGTAGGCCTACAATTACTGGAGCTGATAATTTCCAACAGATTTCGTAGCACATTATTAAAAATCAACGGGTAGAAGAGCGGGCAAAATATGTAATGCATATTAAGCCTTTCGCGATAATTAGGAACGATTTTAGTGAAATAATAGGTTTTAAAAAGTGGACTTTTTGAAATTTGGTGGTCCTGGGGCAGAGGCCTGGAGGAGGTTTGTGAGAAAAGCGACAAAGTAGCATTTTGAGGGTCTTACATAATAGATTTCTCAAACACATAATTCATGAATATTTCATTTAAATTTTCATTAATTTGGGTGTTTTTTGGACCTGAAAAAGTAACGTTATTATGTCCTGTACATCTGTAGGCCTATATATAACATCCTTCATATTATATAGATCAATCTGCAATCACCGGAGACGATCATTTTCTAACAAATTTCATACAACATTATTAAAAATCAACGGTTAGATAAGCTGGCAAATATATAATGCAATGCATGCTATAGCATTTTGTGATAATTAGAAACAATTTTGTGAAATCAGAGGTTTTAAAAAGTGGGCCTTTTTGAATTTAGGGGGCGGGGGTGCGTCTGCACCCTCTGCACCCTGTAGAGCCCACAAATGTAAAAATCTACCACAAATGTAAAAATAACCACAAATGTCAAAACATTCTACCCGCAAATGTTAAAATAACCGCAAATGTCATAACATGTCAACCACAAATGTAAAAATAACCACAAATATAAAAAAAAATCGCCCACAAAATGTAA